ACTAATAGTGAACTTTTGAGCGTAGTTTGAGACAAAAAAAAGACCATAGTTTCGTTCCCCACACGCCCCGACTGGGGGCGACAGATGCTGCAAAAAACGGGCAGCGTCCCGTTCACCGACAGCCCCCTCGGAGGGGCACTCCGGAGTCCGCGGAAACACTCAGGCAAAAGTTCATAGACTCTTGCCCGGGTGAGCTCCTTTCTCCGCCTTCTACCCCGCCTGTCGAGTTCCTGAACCGTCTCCGGTCCGAACTCGACAAACCTACTACACTTTGGGTGCCGTGGCGCTCATGGCGCAGGCTGCGGCCCCTACTTCCGGCCCGGTGGAACCTGCCCTCCGGCGTCATCTGGAGCTTCTGATCACCGCCCTCGCATTCCTGGGTGATCTCCACTTGAAGCTTATGCGGAAAGCTTCGTCGCCACCGTGGTTGCCGTCCCGTTGGATTCCTCTCTCCGCCCGCCCTCAACGCAGGAGGTTCTCGCCGCAGACAAGTCCGTCTGGGCCGCTATTGCCGGGCTGATGCGCGATGAGAAATTCTGCCTTGCGACGCCTTGCCTTGCAGGAGATTATACGGTTACACGGCGTATATGATTCCCACGGTTCTGTGTCCCCGGCCCCGGTCCACGCCGCGGCCCGCGTTCCGCTTGGATCTTCTGGCATGGGTGTTGCGCATGTGGTCGATGAAGCCTCGGTGGTGGACTCATCCGAGTCTGATGAGGTTGAGAGTGTCGTGCGTCACTCACCCTGCCCTAGCCCTCGGCTGGCCCGTTCGCGTTCCCCGCCCCGGCCGAAGTTGTGGGTAATTCCTTTTCATATGTTCGGCCTTGCATTCCGCTCGGGCGTAGGTTGGGCGCCCCAACCCGTGTGCTAGGCGTGAGGCGGGCGCCGCTCCACCCGCTTCCGCCCCCCCACTTTCCCCAACTTGCCCTGAGCCTGCTCAGCCAACTCCGGCTCTCTTCCTGGACTTATTCTCCGGCTCCTTCGCCCCACTTAGCGCTGCTATTGAAGCGCTCGGTTGTGACCGCATCGCTCCGGTTGATGCTCTGTTTGGCGAACAAATCGATGTCTTAGACTCGTCTCACCAGGCATCCTTGAGGCGGCTCTGCTCCTCCGGTTTGGTGCGAGTGCTGTGTGCAGGCCCTCCCTGCTCAAGTTTCAGTCGTGCGCGGCTGCGTCCCGGTGGTCCTGCGCCCGTTCGTACTCCCAAACATCCCAAAGGCATTCCCGCCCCGAACGCACGCCAGCAAGCAGAGCTTGATTTGTCTGACCGGCTTCACTCGTTCACGCGTGAACTCCTTTCCCTTGTTCTCCTGAATGGGGGCATCGTCATTCTCGAGAATCCATCCACAAGCCTCTTGTGGCTTCGCCCGCGTTGCATTTCCTGGCTCCGCCATCATTGCCTTTCTGCTGTGAAGTTGCCGCCTGCAACCGTGGCCTCGACGTCTTCAAGTGCTGGACGTTTGCGTCCAACCTTTCCGACCTTTCTGCGCTGGCCTCCTCCTGCTCGCGCCGCAAAGGCTGCCATACACCTTTCTCGGGGCTCCTTGACGCATCCGGCCAGTTCCTTACGCGGTTCACTGCTTGTTATCCGGAGTCCTTTTATGTTCTCGCATGGCGTCCATACTTTCCCCGTTTCTGTCCAAGCATGTTGGTCTGGTGCCCTTTTTGTCTTGGGAGCACCGTCTTTTGGCGCCCAAGCTGTCCTGGCCTGTGCCGGATTCTCGTGTCGAAGATGGTGCAGGTTCCTGCTCCACCGGATCTTGGTCCGTTCCACACGGTGACGACACCTTCAAACAGTTGCGCCAGGCATGGATTCAGCGAATTACTCGCGCCGACTTTCTGGGGAAGTTCCGAGCCCATCTTGCACCCGGTTCCAAAGAACCTCCGCTCTCGGATCTGGACTTGACTCCTTCTGTCCGATAAGGAATTTCAGACACTACTATGTGTCCCTCCTGGCCAGCCGTTCCGTCTGTTTCTTTTGGAGGCTTTGCTTGGGGTGTCCCGGGATCCTGATATTTCCTTCATAGATCTTCTGGTGGAGGGCGTGCCGCTCGGTGTTGACGAGCAAATGCCTTCCTGCCCTGCCTTGTTCCCGGCGCCTGCCCCTGCGGAACCCAGCGTACCACTCCTGAAACCGTGGATTCTCTCCTGGAATCGGAGATCCGCGAGGACTGGGTCCAGCCAGCCCCAGGCGGACTTTCGGCCCTCAAATCTAAGTCTAAGTATTCTCGGTCCGCGGTTGGCAAACTTGGTTTGGTCAAGGCTCCGGACCGTGATCCGCGCCTGGTGGTCGACAGCAGCATTTCCGGTGTCACTGACCATACGTCGCTTCCGAATAAGTCCGCCAACCCGACTATATCTGGCTTACGGCGGTGTGCTCCTTCCCGGCCTGCTCTGGAAGCCCTCTTCGCATTGATTTTAGACGTCAGTAAGGCTCACCGTCGGATCCTTATCCGTCCTTCCGACCGTGGACTTTTGTGTTTCTTTCACCGTCAGGTACTCTATCAATGCTTTACCCTCAATTTCGGAGCCCGCGCTTCCGGTTTTTACTGGGCCCGTGTGGCCGGTCTGCTTTCCCGCCTGCTGCACCGTCTTCTGTACGTCCGCCATGCTCTCCTGATCTATGTGGATGATCTTATGTCACTTTCGTCCGGACCGTCCGCTCCGGTCTGGGCCGCGTTGATGTGCATCCTTCTCCTAATTCTCCGCGTACCGATGAGCTGGCATAAAGCCTATCTGGGTACGCAACCTACCTGGATTGGCTGGTCATTGTGTTTTACTGGTTTTACCGCCACCATGCAGCCTCCGAAACTTGCCCGTCTGCGTGCCCTTCTCCGCTCCTCCCTGGACTTGGATTCCTTGCCGTTGGCCCTCACGGGCAAGTTGCTTTGGGTGTGCTCGTTATTCCGTGCCTTCAGGCCGTCTTTGGCCCCTCTGTATAAGGATCAGAGTCTTCCGCCCCTGGTTCATGTGGCGCTCAGCCCCGACAAGTGGTCCCTGCTCCCGTCCAACTTGTCCCAAGGTCCCAAGGCTTGTCTTTGCTGCGAGACATTGGCGTTGCCAGCTGTCCGAAAGGATGCACTTTGGTTTCTGTTTTGCACAATCCGAGGTTTCCAGCCTTGAGCAGGTTCCCAAACACTTTCCTGGCGAACGTCGTGTCTGGATTTCTGTTCGCATGCTCGCCCCGCTAGCTCTCTTTGGAATCTAAAGAAGTCTTTGGGAATCCTGCCTTCTGGGTTCCGCTTGCACTGGACCCTTTCTTTTCGTGCGAAGCATTTGCGGATGCATGTGCCGATTCGCGTCGTGTGGGACTTGGTGGTTTCGTCAGCCTTCCCAACTCCCGCACTGTTTCCGTTCTGGAAGTATCGGAAATGTTCCCCTGGCTCCCTCCTCAGACCTCCCCACAGAAATTTATAGCTGCCTGGGAGCTCCGTGTGTGGCCCTTCTCATTCCCGCCGCTCACCATCCGATCCATTTTACCAGTCGTTGTGACAACAGCCCCTCCGACTCCGCTGCCTGGAAAGGTATTTCTATGGCACGTGGGATGTGTTCCTTGCTCCGCGCCTACTTCTTGTGGCAGCGACATTTTTGCGTATCTACCCATATTGAGCATGTTCCGGGTTTCCGCAATGTCACTGCTGTCGGTCTGAGTCGCGGCAAAGAGCCCTCTACTTTCGGACTTCGTCCCTCTGATGAGGTTCTCATTCCTTAGCGCCTTCTCTCCGTCCCTCCGCGCGGTGCATACTTCCCTGAATCAGAGTATTTGGATTCTAAGTTTCCTGCGTTGACCTCCAATGCAGCGCTTCCGTGATGGCACACTGTATGGCTCTGGATTCTGGACTTTGGCTTCGGTTTCCCCGGTGCGGGTATCCATCGCTCCGTGCTCTCTGGCTATTTTCTTCTGGCCGTGCACTCCGCAAAGTCCTCCCGATGTCCGGCCGAACCGTTAGATTTTTCGGCCCCGCCGGACATCCGCATACTGATCCGGAGCAGGCTACCTCCGAGGACCGGCCGGCTATCCGTCCCGGCCCTCGATGGACTCCGCTGCGATTGAGCCATCTGTCAAAAAGAAGTGCGTGTCCGCAACCTTCTGTGCCGTCTAGCCTAACCGATCGTAACGGACCAGTGAAAGCGGTAGAACGGTTTCTCGACGTGTCGTAATGTGTTTTTCCGCTTTCTCGCAACGGCAAGTCGTATCCGCAGCCGTTACGACTTAAGTGCTCCGGTCCGCGATCGGGGTGCTAGGATTTGAATTCCCGCCACCGTCCCCTTTCTCCTACCGTTACTGAAGTTTGGAATCTCCTTCGGAATTCCTGGACTTTGGTCTTTGGACTTTGCACCGTCGTACATACAGTCCGTAGGCCGTGCATTCCGCAAAGTCCCCCCGATGTCCGGCCGAACCGTTAGATTTTTCGGCCCCGCCGGACATCCGCATACCGATCCGGTCCCGGCCCTCGATGGACTCCGCTGCGATTGAGCCATCTGTCAAAAAGAAGTGCGTGTCCGCAACCTTCTGTGCCGTCTAGCCTAACCGATCGTAACGGACCAGTGAAAGCGGTAGAACCGGAAAATCACATTCAACAGGCGGAACTCGAAGCACAAAACTAGACTCCCCGGCGGGACCTGTGCTCGATAACACAAGCATTCATCAGGCATTCTCGATGAACAAAATTCGCACTCGATGGGAAAGCATACTGCCTCAACAGAGGCTCTTAACCCTCAGAGCTTCCAAAGCGCCTATCGAAGGGGAATAGCACTCGCCCAGAAGTGCTGGATGGAATGTACTGGCAGGTGCAGTGCATTAGGCACTTCTAATCCGCCAAAATCTTATGCACACTGGGGGAGCGGTGTGACCCCTCTTTATTGGTGGCACCAGAGTTAGTGCAAGTGGCGGGTCAGGGGCAAAGTGGTTAGGGCGGAAAGCTAACGTGCTGTCAGATGCACACGAGTAAAGGGTTTGCAAGGTCCCCAGGGTACACTGTACAAGTCATCTCACAGCTATGATCACGAGGCTACAAACCGGTCGATTTCAGGTGGTTCTCTGCCTCATCCGCCGCGGCCGCCTCCGGCTGCCACGCATGCCTGGCGCCGCGCCGGAGGTCATACGGAACTTGACCTGCCAGCAGCACATATAGCAACAAAACGACATGCCCGGAAATCTATGACGAGGGAAAGCGGATGCCTGCCGCCTGCAGGGCGCCGTAGAAAGTCTTCCAGTCGTGGAATTTGACACTGGAAGGCCGGGGCCACACAGCAGAAGGCTTTCGACTGCAGTTCTAGCCGCTTAGCGCAGCTTCTTCTTCTGGTTCCCACAGGTTTTGCGAGGACGGCCGGGGCGAGTTTCCCGCGTCCTGTGCGGTCTGCTTGGAAACCTTCACGGCGCAGAAGGTGCGAAGGGATTCTCGTGTGTGATCTTGCTGGCCGCTGCTGCCTCGTGCGGGTGGCAGATCTGGGCACGAGTCGACGTGAAATGACTCTGAAGGGCGATGCACGAAAAGTTATGGCAGTTGAGGACCCATTACAGAAATCGATAGCAACAATAATTCTGTGTGCATGATTCCTTGAATGATGCTTGCTACATGCCACATCCAGTTATGCCCAAAAGCTTGCCTCCTGTGCCTGAGAAGGAGATTGTCAAGATGCCCTGCAACCACGTCTTTCACAGAAGCTGTTTGTCCGGCTGGTTTCAGGCAGGCTGCATCTCATCATGACATAATCCGGACATGCTGCCAAGGCCTTGCAAGTCCTGCAGTGACTTTGGCCCTTCCGTGGCTTTGGTTAAGGAATGGTCGTTTTTTGCTTCCGTGGCCCTGAGAGGTGGCTCGAACCTGCCCTTTGTGCCGGGGTGACGTGGAGCAGGCAAAGGTTCTTTGTGTCGAGGTCGGGATTTTGCAGGCAAGGAGATTCCATAGCTTTGAGGGCTTACCAAGTTGCGATGCTCAAACTAAGACGCGACGGTGTTCTCCCTTTTGTCAGCTGTGCGCGCAGCGCCTGCAGCAAGCGCATGTGGCGCTTGTGCGGCTCCTGCTGTGGCACTGTGGCGCAGTCCGCATATTGAAATTTGAGCGGCGAATCGTGGTCTCTCCACGGGTCTCTCGTGGTCAGGACACCGAAAACACTGCTAGCTCTTCCTCGCTTCGCTGGGTGTATCCTCCCCCACAGTGCCTTACGTGTTTTGGGCGGAAGCCGTACTGCCGCCAGAGTCCTCATATTGGCCTGCACGTCATGCGAAGTCCCGAAAGTCCTGATATTCTCCAAGGTTGGCAGTTCTGCTCCCCCCACAGTCCCATACGCTTCCGCCTTTCGTCCACAAATTGCTTTGCCGCCATGTGTTTCAGCCTCAGCGCCGTGCAAGTTGTAAGATGCTGATCGCTCCGCCGCCACAGAATGTGAGGTGCGCATTTTGGACGCATGAGGTGGTCTTGGGAGCATCCGGGGTGCTGCAGGAAGTTCACTCTAAGCTGGTATAATTCCACAGAAGTGTTCGAGATGCCATCCATCCATCCGGGTCAAGCCATACGAACTGAGAGGCCATCGAGGCTCACCATTGTTTTGCTTTACTTCCCTCCCTATCGCTGATTCAGGTCCTTGTCTGAGAATCTCAGATCGCTTTGCAACTTTGCAATCGCTTAGAGCGTTTTCAAGATGCATGGCGAATTATTTTGAAGATTCGGAATTAATTTGTTGCCGTGCTTATGCACCGGGCAACATAGATGACATATGTTCAGCTTGCACAGGGTGGCCTGAATGCCAGGAGCACCGTTGATCTTTACAGATGTGTTTTTCACGAGGTTTGAGACACTTACCGAGCTTCGCAACTTGTACAGGCGTCTCGGGTGGAACTGGGCAGATCGAAGGCGCTTGGCTCCGGGGTGTAAGGCAAAAGTGGAGCTTCAGTGTTCCTCACGAGCTGTGTTGGAGCTGCCAGGTGTCCTACTATTATGCCACAATGAGTACAGAAACACTCGCAGAGAGAGAGAGAGAGATATACATATTTATACATATATTTATATATATATATATATATATATATGTATTTATATACATATACACATGCATATACACAAACCGACAGTTAAGTACATACTTAAGTACATGCAGCTATGGGACAACATCTCGCTGGTTTTGCGAGTGCACTAGCCATTGTGGTTCTTAGAGTTGTAAGTTCTCCTGCAGCAGTACTCTGCACGAACACCAAGGACGACCCTGCTTATGTAATCAGCAAGGAAAACAATAAGTCAACAGCATGATAGTATGTACAAGATGTTCTTGACGATGAATATGACGATGATTGCGACGGGCCAGTTATAACGATGCACAGTAGAAAGCTTCTTCGACAAAAAGTCATAAGAGCAATAATGTGCTGTAGAAACTATCAACATATCAATCAGGGTGCAGATAGCAACATTACCATCACTATACATGTACCGCAATAGTGTAATGAAGTCTGTATCTGCAAGCTCTGTCCGTGGAAGTTACTTCACACTGCGAAGAGGAAAATGCACCGAGTCAGCTTGCGGGGTCTGGGCGAGGCTTCGCAGCTGTCATTCTGAGCTTGGGATGCTTGCAGAATCTGCGAACTCAGGCGCAATTGCTGCTAAGCTATGGAGAAGTCGACCGCTGGAGGTGCGGGGTGCTGAGACACACACGACCGCCGCCTGTGGCAGCCAGAAGCTAGAACTACTGCTGGCTTTTCGCAGCATGCAAAGCCACAGGGTTTGGGATGTGCAGTCACGCTTGTCTGGAATTCTCTTTGCAGCGAATAGCAGCTCGCTACCCTCAAACATTATAGCTGGCAATCCACAAGTGCTGCTGTAGGCAGGCCAACAGTTTGTTTGGGTTCGGAGGCCAAAACGTTTAGAGACGGGCTCATAGCGCATTGGGAAGTGTGAGGAGGATTAGCTTCGTGGCCGCAGGCCTAACTCTGAACATGCTTCCTGGCTGTGTTGTGGCCCAGGTGCAGGAAAGCCATGCGGGTGCCGATGCTGCTGGACAGGGCCGGCTGTAGTTTGCCGGTAAGGGTATCCAGCTCAGCAGACCCGTCGGAGCAGGAGCAAGCCAATTTGTTGAGTACGGCTGTTGAAGCTTCATGCGACAAACTTCTTGCCGTCTCAAGACCAGAGGCTTTTTCAGCTTCCGCATGCTTCCGCAATACTCGCCTCGCCACAATTGGCTTCTCGGATCAGGTCCCAGCAGCCGGTTCTTTTCCAGCTTCACAGCTCAAAGGCTCACGGCGTCTGTGGTTGTTTCAGGTGGATAGGGTGGGTCCGGTTCTTGGGAGAGAGGCCTGCAAGCAATTTTCTGATGGATGATTCCCTCGCAATCTGGCATCTGTGCCGTCACTTTGAATTCCAAAGGTGCAGGCTAAAACATTTGCATTGCCTATCAGTTCGGCTGGCAAGCAAAAGGTGTACCCATGATCGGTTTGTCCAAAATCCAGGCAGCGTAACGGGCAGGGTTGAGGTCGGTGATCTGACTTCGCAGGCAGCAGGCATCCACGAGGTGTGAGTCCAATTGCTTTTTTGTTCTGATTCCGTGGCGCTCGGAAGGCCCAGGGGATTAGCCATGGCGGCAGTCAGATTGCAAAGCACATGCAGCATGCGTTTCTGGCAAGAACCCTTCTACTACAAGCCAGACCTGCAAGGCTTAAAACCTCTCACGGAGACGACTCTTTTGGACAGCATAGTTGTGATGAAAAGCCTCAACACACGAACGCCGTCGAACTGTCCTGGCCCTTTGTGTGGCGCCATGGAGAAAGCTCCTGACAGCCCGGAAGTGGATGGCGCCATCGGGCTGAGAATTCACATGTAGTACCCGTCGTAGGAAGAGTTGGGTCTTTGCTGCTAAGGCTGCGGGCTGCGACGGTTTCGAATTTGTGTCAGGTCGATATTCCCACCTGCTGATGCCTCTCAATATCTTTGATACTGTCGCCCACACTCGCCCGCGCACCGAAGCCTTTTTGTGGCTGAAGACGCTAAATCACGGCTGGCTGTGACTGGTACCCTTGAAAGGGGACGGCCGCCAGGATCTGCCGCGCCATGGAGCTGTCGCTACAGCGCCCCGGACTCCACCGTAGCTGAAAAACGACCCGATGCTAGTCCAAGATGGGTGTCGATCATGGGAGAATTTCTCATATGAAATAGGCGAAGCTATGCGAAGCTGGATGACCGAATTGTAGGCTTGGATTGTCGACGCCGCAGCTAAGGCATACATTCCTACATGTGAAGGAGAAACAGTCAAAGAAGGACGGTCAGGTTGAGCCTTGCTCTTTCCAAGCTGCCTTTGGAAGGCACTTCGAATATGTTGAGTGCGGTGTCGCATTTGGGAGCTGCTGTCTTCGCGAATTCCATTTAGGGGCTATCAGCTCGGAGGAGCGGACGAAGAGTCTGCCACCGCCCGATAGTTCGGCTTCGGGGAATGAGGCCAGGAGCCCTAGAGGCAGCTGCGGTTGTGCCTTGCGGATGCCGCCTGAGCCCGTGCGTGTGTGGGAGGGAACATTGAACAGCGGCCCCGTCCCCATTTCTTCGAGGCAAAACCATCAAACGGGCTACATGCATATGTTCGACGCTACGTGGTCGCAGAAGGGTTGGGAAATGCTTGCCGGGTTGCACGCTCGTATGGCAGGGAAGCAGCTGCGATGAGTTTGGTCCAAGGTCTCCACGCAAGGGTGGATGAAGACTTCCACGAGTTCAATCCCGGATCTGGTGGTCACCCAGAGTTTTGCTCGCGCCCTTGCGTGTCTTGTCAGATAACATGCCCGACTGGCAACACAGCTCTTGAGCATCACATAATAAGCTACACGCGCGACACGTTCGATGCTCCGATTTAGAAGAACTGCATCCTTTGCTGCTACTGATCGTGCCAGCACAAGAATGACGTCTGCAAGGCATACTTCCAGAGCGGATACTGCCGACGCCTGGGTGGCTGCCAGATGTGCCATTTCTATCACGAGCGCGTTCGCCTGGACAAGAGCCTTGGGCCCAATCTAGAGGGTCAAACTCGCACGATCGTCAAGGGCACGGAGTCACAGGGGCTTCAAAAGGCAGGGCCCAGTCGAGCGACCCTGGTCATTGAGTTCAGGCTGTTCATTGTGAGGCCATTTGCAGACTGCTCACAAGTACTTTGCTTGGCCAACCGGCAAGGGCGCGTCCCCCGAAGCTTCAACAAAACAACTTCAACACATTGCATGGCACCCGTTGCAGCGATATCGCAGCAAAGGACGCAGCGTAGCTGGCTGGGAAGGCTCTCTGAGCGCGAATTACTGGTGTCACTCGGTCGAGATTTGAGAAATTGAAGAGTCGGGATGCTACTAACCGGGCTGAGGGCTTCGGAGACGATCTGGCTTTAACCATGCAGGTTTGGTCTACCTTTCTTCTGCTCAGCTATCGTCTGGCTTTTCATGTGAATGCCCATTGACGAGACTACGTGGGATAGAATGTCCAAGAGTTTCGCGGAGTCTTGGATGTTGGGTGTCAGGCACATGAGCAACTGAAGGTATCCACTGTGCCTACTAGATCTTTCCTGACACCAAACGTTCTGCTATGTCCTTGCCAGTGCGACCAGAAAGATTTTTCGGTGCCCGAGCTGGGATTGGGAAGCTCACGTCGTAACTTTATGAAATCCAAGTAGGTGCATCGCGTCCGGACCTTTCAATGGGCTGGGGAGTTCACAGGGGAGATGGAGATTTCTCAACCAGAATCCCTGAATACAAAAGCAAATGATGTCAGACACCCTTGTGGAATCTGTTATAGCCTGCCCTACTATACTCTATAACATAGGTCGCTCACGTTTTTAGGTTGTTCAGCCAGGGCTGGGAGTGTGGATCGTGTCGTTCCCACCTGCTTGCTTTTTGAATCTCCCTCGGACCAACGAGGAGGGAGACAGGGACCATTCTACCCTGGGCCAGGAATCTATGTGAGGGTTGTTCTAAAGGTCCGCGTCTACGGTGTATACAAGATCGGCAATGTGAAAGGGTTNNTGATAAAGCAGGCGCGAAAGGAAAGCACTTTTGCGCGAAAGATGTGTCAACACGTCATAACATACTGCAGGATTCATGTATGTCCTGCCGTAGCATCTTCAATCGACTGATCCTCGAAGAAGCTCGCGAGCCCTTAGTCGAGGTTTTTTGAACGAATGAGCCCTAAAGCCTGTCGCGTCTCTTTCTTGTGAACCTTAAACCTACGGAGAATGAGTTCCTGCACCCTTGATTGATCTTGATTGCATCGTTTGAGCCCCCAGCCCTTACAGATTTGAACTCCGGCCCTGTCGTCGTACCTTCTACGTGGCGAACATCTAACTTGTACGAGTCCTCAGTACTTGCCTTGACC